ATTAATGAGAAATTGAACAGGTGTTCCTAATAATCCTTTAGGTGAGTGTATATTACTATTGTCTCTATAGTATTATATAGAGAGGTGGCACAGTGATGCAGTGGTTAGCACTGTTGCCTCACACCTCTGGGACCAGCGTTCAAGCCTTGGCCAAGGTTCCATGTGTGTGGAGTTTGCATGTTCTCCATGTGTCGTTGTGGGGGGTATTCTGGTTTCGCCCCCACAGTCCAAAACCCTGCTGAGGTTAATTGGAGTTGCCACATTGCCCATAGGTATGCATGTGTGTATGAATGTGCCCTATGATGGGTTGGGGCACCATTCTGGGTTGTTCCACATCTTGTGCCCATAGGCTCCAGACACCCAATGACTCTGTATAGGACAAGCGGTTTCATAAAATGGATGGATGGAACCGTTGTATAATGAGAAATATAATTTGAATTAAGTTATCATATAAAGTAATACTTTTATTATTTAAAAATAAAAGGACACATTTAATTGATTATTGAAATATTATTTTAAAAACGAAAGGACACAGTTATTGAAATATTTATAGATATATTTATTTCATTTTGAGCAATATGGCATTCCATTCATGTAACAACATTACTTTAGTACTATTTTAATCCTGATATAAATGTATTTCATGCATCCAGAATAAATAATGTGGTAGATGTTTCCAAATCATTATACCACCAAGAACTAAATTAATATCCAGAATGGTTCAGAGTGATCAATAAATATCTAAGCACGATATTAACAAGTTATCGTAGATAACTGCTGAAATCAATAAACATACAATTTGCAATTTTTTTGTCTGAATTTTTATGCATAAATATTTTTAATTTAAAAAAATTATTCATATATTAAGATTTCTAACAGATTGACAATCATGAAACATAGATCGTGCAGAAATATATGTGTAGGGTTTTTTTTCCCAAACATATAAAATAGATAAACTACACTTTGAAATCTCATGAAATGGATAAAAAATGTTTCTTTGTTCTCTACGCATGCGTCAACCCAACCGGTAATGGTCTGAGAGTGGTAGGCCCAGAGCAGTAATTAAGCTCCACGGCGTCACAATACATTATTTCAGGATTTAAGCCAAGTGTATAGAAACATGCCCAGCATAATGTGCAACGGGTTTCACACTGAAATACAGCAACTTATGCTGTGAGGGTACACTTACTTGAAATATAATTAAAGTGGATTCTCCATGGTGTGACCAGCATTTGTAAGAAATTACAATAATGTACATACATGACCACCTACCATGGTTCCGATTTCAATACAGCTTTACTATATCTTTAAGAGCGGGTCACTGAACATCACGGTCCTGCAAAGACAGGAGTTGGGCAGTGCTCAATGGCACAACTTGACCTTTCTTATGAGGCTGCGTAGAGAGTGGGATGAATGATGCTCGACTGAATCGGTTGGCAGAGGAGTAAACCAGCACCCAATTGGCTGTGAGTTTTCGGAGGAATAGAGTAGACCCAGCGTGTGTTGGGGTTCATTTGCCATATCTATAAGATCGCCTAAAATATCGACTCAATGGTGAAAGTTGACGACTGTGGGGATCGGTGTCCCGTCTGAAGATACCACCCTGGGTAATTGCCCATCTTGCCCTTGCCAGGATCCTCCACTGTTGGGACATTACCTGCACATTGGAGGGGCCTATCCTTTTATTGCATACAGCCCATTGTACTAGGGTATAGGTGTTGTCTCAAATATGCTAATCATGGTAGGTCTGAGAGAAGGATAAATGCACTGCTGGTATTCCTAAACGACTATGCTTAAGTCAACCACATGCCCAGTCTGAAAGAAATTAGTCCAGAGCAGTCTTAAATGTTGCCTGAAGACATGAAAATTGTTCCCGTAATGACAGACTAACGCTGTCCATGTGTACCATGATCATACTCACACACACGTAAAAAGAAACGGAATACCACTTCCTGAGGACTGTATTATGAAAAGCATCCATTTAATAAAATATATTTGATTACACTCTTACACATGTGCAGGGATTATAACAAACCAGAGGAAGGAGAAAAGCATTTCTAAACGCCTATTCAGATTGCACAGTCTGCGCCATTGCTGTAGGCGCTTCTCCACAGAAGACTAATGTGTGTCCAAGTGTACCAAAAAATAAATAAATAAATAAAACCCCTACTTCTCACACAGTCTAAGCACAACACACACTCATTGATTAGTATTGAAATGTCCAGCCTGCAATGTGCGTTTTTAACAATCTTGTGTAATGTCTGATCGCCTCTTTGCGCCAAGACAGAAAATCCTAGATAGAAATCTTCTTGCAAGTGGCTTGTCAGCTGTTTGGAGGCGATCCATGGAGCCCCGAGATAGTGCAAGCAAAGCCCCCTACCCCACCCAAACACCCAAAAACCCACATATCCCAGCAAATAAAAAAAAAAATGCGGGGGGGCATCAGTATGAATTTCAACACATGCGTAATCTGGGCTGCAAACGTGTGACAAGTAAACAGCGGTAAAGAATGTCCATTTAAGCCTTTATTGAAGTTTACAGGATCCTGTAGAAATCAAGTAAGCAAGGTAAATGGGCAACCAGAATATTTCAAATTGAAGAAAGTGAACGTGTGGTTTTCTTCTAAAGTTTGTCTTTCTTAAAGAATTATCAATATCTTCTTGGTTACTGTCCTGTGCTAACAGTCAGAATGAAAATGAACATTCAGTAAACATTCTTATCTAAAGGTACTTCCCTTATAGATTCTGTCATTTCCTCTCAATGTATACATAAACAAGTTTAATAACATACCAATCAGTGGTTATTTCACAATTGAAAAATAAAAGCACAAAAAAGTTGACACTCCTTTACAGGTAAATAAAAGGTCATTTGTGTTGTCGGAACTTCCTTAAGGGCATAGCATAGTTTCAGGGATTTGCAATTTTCCTTTAAGCAGTTTCACCTTGGTTTTGTTTTTTTTTTTCCCTCTATTTTAGGCTATTACATAATTAGATTCTTACATACAAATATTGACAAAATGTTGGCTTGTGCTTCAAAGCCGTCAAGTCTATTAGATAGCCGTCAGAGTTGGGAGGAGGGGCAGAACTCAGAGCTGGCTGTCACTGCAATGGGCATCCTGGCTGCCGCTTGGCTTCTCCATGTCCTGGTTAGGCAGTTCCCGGGTCATGAGGGCGGAGCTCTTATCAGAGAACTCCTCTCCATCGGGCTCCAGGTCCTCAGGGCAGGGCAGCTTGAGCAGTTCCTCACGGAGCTGGGCCGTGTGCCTCTGTGGGGGAGGCACAAGGGATCAGCGGGTTTGAGGTGAGACCTTAAGAAACTGTGCCATGCAATTAACCCACATGACATAGTCTGACCGGTCACAGCACCTCAGTTCTTTACTGAAACAGGCTACGCGTGGACCAGACCAAGAAGCAGGCTCCACATTTCCATTAAAGCATGCCTAGCTTTCTTTAAGAACCACAAAATTACTAATAAAGTCTGTTCTGGGCTCAACCTGGCAGCCTGCCAGCCAAGTGTTCCAAGATTATAATGAAACAGTTCTGCACAAGGACAGACATATCAGTCACTCAGGTTCAGTAATCTTCCGTTCCCCACAAACACAGGCAAGCTACATATCAGCTGAGAACACTGCGTGCCTCAGCAGTAAAGCACAGCTGCAAGGCTCGGTGTGGACGTTTGTATCTGAACTGGAAATGTTGCACAGTTTCATCCAGGCCCAGCAGACATGACTTAGAGCTGTTTAACACGTCTAATTAGGGAATAATTAATGTTCTGTCCACCCCCACCCCCCTGCTGCAGTTTAGGTTTTCAGAGAGGGGCAAGTGCATGACAAGACCATCAGCTTATGCAAGAGTCCCAGCATGGAGGTGGTGTGCATGCATGGGGGGAGTACCTTAATGAGCACCTCATCGTTGCCCTACTTGAGGCACGTTACTGACGGAAAGGCTACTCTTTGCATGCAAACATGCAAGGGAGACCCTGGGGAGGGGCGTTGGGTGTCTGCCGACACTAATAATGCTGAGGGGTGAACAGAGCACACCAAGCATACTCCATAAGGCGTAGGGAGGGCATACCTTCAGAGCGGCAGCATGGTGGGACATGGTGCGGCCCACCCTCTTGTCGCTGCTGTACTGCTGGATGTCAGCGATCCACTCCTCACACTGAGCCATGATTTCCGCCCGCTTCAGGTAAAAGTGCTTGTGAATCACCTGGGTGAGGTAGAGAGCAGAGGGTCAGATGCTTCATTTCCACCAACAGAGCCAGTGCTATTGCTGGTGCTTGTGCCAGTGCTGATACTTGCATGGTTCCTTTTGAGAACCTGTCGGCGTTTTCACCAGTTTCACAAAAGAATGGAACGGAAATGTTACGTAGTTGGAAGTGAGAGTAAAGTAATGGTTCATATGTAGTCCGTTTTTTTATTTTGATTTGTTTCCGATTTTAAGTTGTAATACGCTGCCGAACCGAAAAGAAGTTTGCAGAATATTACTTGTTGCACTGTCTCTATTGCCTGTATCCACTTTTATCTCCTTAAAGCCTCCCTGTCTGTGTGTGTGTGAGTGAATTTACTCTTGCTCACTGTTTTAACACTGTTCTTTTCAAAGTTCATGCAATAAAAGACTCTAACAACTGAACTTCGCTGTCTGCCTCATGATCTCTTCGCTACTTGCCACAATATTTTATTTATTCAACCCGAGACATTTATGATTTATTATTAAATCTTCCCATCAAATTGATCTTTCGTTTTCCACAGAATAAAAAAATTCAATGCAATGTTATTCCGCTAATAAGCCGGCAAGTTGTTTTACTGCCTTCACCAATACCAGAAAAAAATACAGTGCTTATTGACTTAATTTTCCGGGTATGCAGAAGGCTTGGATGTGACAGCCTATCCCACTTTTGATGACGTTACAGTTCTAAATTCTGAGACCAGCTTTTCTGTGCTGCCAGGCTAGAGCAATTTTTTTCGACCCAGGGCCAGTTTTTTGCAGTGGAAAAGAGGCAAGAGAGAGACATGGGCCTCTATTCACACACAACACACACGGACGTATTTGGACATATGAAAGCAGTATTTCACGCAGAGTTAAAAAT